AGCAGCACAGTATGAGTATAGGGCAAAAAAAAAAAATCTGAGTCTTAGAAATATGTTAGAATAAATGTAAAGTGGCAGATCAAAGCAGGTGGGAAATTTCAGAGAAACCGCTGTTGATGAAGCATAAAGCTTCATAATTATTCTGTTACTTATTTGACATTTTTCCTGACCAAATACAAATTATTAATTTGATTTTATTTTAAAAACCTGAGTTTTAAAAATATAGACCAATAGTGTAAGTGGTTTCATAATCTAAAATTACAAGTCCAAAAACATTATCTTTCAAAAGAATGAGGTTAAAAGAAGGTAAACAGGTCAAGTGTGCTGTCTGACAGTATGAGACAAATGTAAATTCTCTCAACTGGTGATAGAGACAAAGAGGTGTTACTGTCCACACACCCAAAGTGATGCTATAATTTTCCTCAAATTGGGTCGAGACATCTCAAGTATCTGATAGGACTAATAATCCCCTTTGCATTTTAACTATCTTCTTGTTCCTGAATGCCTTCCTAGTAATGTCACCTCTTGGCCTATATTTAGTAAGAGAAAAAAGGCCTCTCAGTAACATCTTGAAACAACTCATAACATTAGAATTAATTTTTTTTAAATTCTGAAGTTTACCATATGAATACAGTGGTTGGAGACCAAACAGTACAACTTCATAGCAGAGATGATGATATTCTATAGATACATGCAAAAGTCCTAAATCCTCTCATCTAACAGTGTCTGTCAATATGGATAACAATATCCAGAGGATTTTTTTCAACCCCCCTGTGTCATCTTTCCTTTTGTGTGCCCCGAGGCTGAAGGAAGTGCATTCTAGTGCTTAGCCATGCTGGAGTAGGAAAGTGAAAAAGCACTACATCACGGGACAGATGTCATTACCTTCTTGGATGTTCTTGGATGTTTGAATATTTTTCCAGGTTATACTAAGAGTTTTAGTTCCCAAGGGGATAAGGTTTTAACTACATTTCAAAACCAGAATTACTTGTATGAACAAACATTGCAGGGACAAAAGAGAGGGCAGGGTTTAAAAGAACAATTTCAATCATAATAATCATATTATAAAATTTTCACTTATTTTGTTAGATATGAAAAATACTCTTTGTTTTCTCGCAATGCTCTACAAATCTTTCAAATTTGGAATGTCCTTTAATGTAACACTACCATTAATGTGTCAATGGCACTTGGCGACATTAACTCAACTAGGTTCAGAAACATCCTGTATAGGACCACAATGATGTTCTGATCTTTTCTTAAAAAGTGAGGGAAGATGCCTATAATGATTTTGAGAAGCATGTTTTCCAAAAACTTCACACACAGATGGAATATTACATAGTTTTTAAACTGTGCTCAGTGGGGCCCCGGAGTCTTGCTCGTGGACCACGATGAGGGCAGGCAGGGGCTCATGGGAGAGCCAACTGGGGCTTTACCCTGCCCCCTCCGCTCTTTAGAGCAGCATGACTTTTATCTGTTATATATATATAATGAATCAGGCAATGTTTTATTTAGAAAACGGGTTCTGCTCTGAAAGAGAAGGAGAAGGAGTGAGAAAGATTTGAAAAACTACTCTGTTTAAAATTGACTATGTTACATGGTAAGTCCAATATTATGGTCTACATACAAAAATAGATTCTGATGACATTAAAAAAGATTTCATAGTCAACATGTCTCATTTAAAATAGGCAAGGACGAAGCCAAAATGGATGAACCGTAGGGCTAGGACAGCTAACTTTAAAGCCAGGGTGACACGCCAGCAGGATCTGTGGTCTTGCCATGTTGAAACTTGCCTCACCGAAGTGGTTTTAAAGGCAGCTGTCTGTGGCTCCCACTGAGCGCTAACCCCGGCTGGTGTTAGGAAAGACTGGAGGCTCAGGCCAGTGAAGGCCTGGGATCACCCTGGCTCTAGAGAAATTAAAAGCTCTACAGTCCTCAAATAATCATGGTTGAAAAAAAGCATTTTTCCGAAAAAAAAAAAAGCACTTTTCAGAAAATTAGCTCTTCGCAGAGACTCCTCGTCATTGTCCCCATGCTTTTCCCGTAAAAAGACCTCTGCTCTCCTTTAACGGGTGACATCACCTTTTGAGGCTCATTTCAAAAGTTACCACTTCTCTGAAAGGTTCCTTTGGATCAGGTTTGTAGTTACTATTCTGGGTTCCTTCAGGTTTCCTTAAGGAATTGGTTCAGACCATGACACTCTGAGGGACACGGCCAAGTGTTGCTCATGGGCTAGAGCATCCCTGATAACTACCATCTATTAATTGCCTAATGAAAGCTAATTAAGTGAATAAATGAATGAAACTATGGTTTCAGAGGTAGGGATAGATTAGGAAACCAGTCTTAATTTGGAACAAGCTGGCTGAACAAGGGAACCAATCTTTTTATCTTCTGGGTCTTAGATTTTTCAGTAAAACTTAGAGACCACTGTTTATCATGAACTACTGGGACATTAGCTAAAAAACTCCCCTTTCCATTTGTTTTAAGTAAGAGGTAATTGTAAGGGAGGCTGCTGTATTTGTAAACTAAAAATACACATGCAGGTTATATATTTCTCCAGGCAACTTAAATTTCAATGTGACTCACCATCTCCATCTGCTGGAAAAAGGCTGAACGTCTATTTCCTTGAAAGGATGGAAGTCACAAGGCTTTTGATAATAGATATTAAACCCACACACAACATCCACCACCATTGTTTAACCTATAAAATCTAATCTATAAACTAGAACATTCAGATTAAAAATGTTAGGCACAATAAGCATTCAACTCCAGAATAGAAAAAAAATGTAATGTTTAGAATCCATTTTCAAATATTTTATTGTCACTTATTATATATTAATTCTATCTTGTTATCATGGGGGAAAAGGCCACATTATATTCAGGCTGTGTAGAAAAGGAGACAGGAGAAAAGGAATAATTTCCAAACAAGTACTATTTTATTTTTTTACTTTTCAAAAAGAGTAAGGAAAGCAAAAGATTAAAAATCAATACCATTAGTGGTTTAAGATAACATGTGACTTTGGTTGGAGAGACTGAAAGAGATTATGATCATGGCCTCATAAATAAAATATCATTTTATTTCATCACACAATACCCCAAGGCATAATCATATATAAAAATGTCAGGAAAAAAAAGAGAGCGAGTTCAATCAATCACTAAGTTGATTGATAACAAGCTCTTTACTATTTATGCACATCTAAATTGCGGGGAGGGAGTTATCAGGTTGGAAGTTACCATAGATGCCATCACAAGTCTTCTGAGAAATAATTTCAAATAGAAGTGGGGTGTGAAAAACAAACTAGCTCCTAATGGGATCACTATCTATTCAGGAGACAGGAGAACAATATCTAGAGTCACATATGGCAACTGTATATAGTAGAAAAACCACCTGCAGTTGGAGGATGACATTCCCATTATTATATAGAGAGGAGGGCACAGGGGGAGAGGAAGAAGGGAAAAGTCCAGGGAGGTGTCAGTGGTGTTGGCTGCCTTTCAAGACAGGAAGTTGCAGGAAGTACTTGTTTGAGAGAGAAGAAGAGGGGAAAAATGTTGGCTTTTACTCGCCTAAAAGCAAGATCAAGTAAACTAAATGCAAGATCAAGATCATAGCTAACAGGCAAACTTGGTTCTATGCAGTACAAATATGCGTACAGTTGAAGGAATTATGTAGTTACGAAGTTATTTAATGGAAAGTTAAAGGTTAGAATGAAGATACTTGAGTGGCTAAGAGCATGAACTCTGGAGCCAAAGTGCGACTTCTGGCTCGCCCTCTTATGAGCTGTGTATTCTCAGCCACATAATTTAACCTCTTTGTTGCCTTGATTTCTTTATCTGCAAAACTGAGATAATGAACAGTATCGACCTCAAATGGGTGTTGTGAAGATTCAAGTAATAGAAACAGCACCTGGCACACAGTAAGCACTATGCAAAAATGTTTGCTATTGTTAATTAAGGAAGAAAGGTTTCTTGCTACTTCTACAGCATCAATCATAGTGTATCCATCACTTTTGGACAGAATAGCCTTGGTTCCTTGGATAGTAAAATGAGAATGTTTATAGTGTGACATAAATGATGGGTTTATAGGGCCGGCCAAGTGGCATGTTGGTTAAGAGCTGGCTTGGGACGCCAGCTCTGAGCAGTAGGGCCCCGGTTCGGATCCCACATGGGGGCCAGTGACACTGTCCACTACAGCTAAGATGGTGAACAATGGCTTGACCTGGAGCTGGGCTGCTGTGAGTCGCCAGAGATGGCGTAGGCTGCAGCCCCTGCTGCAGTGGGCTGCCATAAGCTAACCGTGTGTGGCTGGCAGCCAGTGTGAGCGGCCGGCAGCCCGAGTGAGCTGCCAAGAGCAGCTGTGAGTGGCCGTCCAGAGGCCGGCGACCGATCTGCCTCACCCAGGAAGAGTGCAATGATAATACCAACATGGGCCAGTGAAGCAATGTCCTCTACAACTAGACTGAAGAACCAAACGACAGCAACTTATCTGTTCCCAATTCCCCAGCACTGTTCCACTCACCCAATTCCCCAATAAAAATCTTAAAAAAAAAAAATGATGGGTTTATATAAGTGAACAATGATTGACACATTCTTTTTTATTAGCTACAGAATCACATAAGCTATATATTATTTTGTATTTCATATTATACACCTTCATTAACTATTGGTACACATGGGTGCATAGGTGACTTATGAGCATGCATACTTGTTTGTGTGTGTTGAGGGGGGCACGTGTATCTTCAGTGGAATACATGGCAAGGAAATTGCTGGACTAGACAAACTCTGATCGAAAATTGTGACGAGAGAAAAGATCCAAAATCATTCCAGGGACTTTTCAGCAAAAACTTTAACCAGTATTAAGATTTGTCAATGCTTAGACCCAAGGAGATTCAATAGTAAGTGGTATGCCAAGATATTTTGATTTTTATTTTATTGGCTCCTTGAGTAAAGATTGACATTTTCTGGAAACCAAACTCTCTATACGAGCAAAATAGTCTTTCACGTACCTTTTCAATTAGCTCGTAACTCTCTTCCAGTTTGAGCAGCCTGTTTTGCACAGATGTGGATGCGCGCTGATAGACTGCTCGCCACTCTTGGAAGTCGCTCTCTGAAATCTCAGCCACAGCAAAACATAAAGTTCTTAACCCTGAAAAAAGGTAGCATACACCCCCACCCAAAACAAAATAAAATTTTATGCAGAAGTCTGACACTTCATTTTTATTTAACGAAGTCTCATTTTGAAAACACTGATTTAATGGAAACAATGTGTTGAAGTGTGATTGAAGTATGACAAAACCTCAGTATAAAACATATACTAATGTTTCCGTCTCCTTTAAAACTGGCACCCTGCTTCTAATTCCCAGCTCTGTCAATCTAGCCTCCAAACCTAGAGTGGCTTTTTTTAAATCCTAACTTTATCAGATTATGCCTCTGCTTGAAATCTTTCATTTGCTCCCCTGGATGAAGTTCAAACCCCAAAGTCTGGCTCATTCCACATACATCAGTTGTCCTCAGCCTCATTCTTTGCCATTCATTTTCTACATACCAGGGGCTTTGCCCATGCTGGTCACTTGTTCTCCATTCCACCCTCTTCAACTCCCCTCCGCTGCCTGCCTTAAACCTACTTTAAGATTCAGTTCTTAAAATCATCTCTTTGAAGCATCCTCCTCTCACCCAGACCCCACAGGCAGAAATCCCCAAACACTGCTATGGTGTGAATGACAATGTCTCATAAATTGTTTTTCTTGTGGATCTCCTATGTTAGCTTAAAGCTCCTGGGTGGCAAGGACCTGGGTTTCTTCATATCTGTCACTCCAGTATTGAGCACAGTGGCTGGTTCATCATAGTGGCTTCTTAGATTCTTATGAAGGAAGGAAGTGAGAGATCCCACTGAGGTCTCCTGGGAGAGCCACCTTCCTCTTGCTGGGATATATGGTTGTGTTTATTATTGCTCTCTACCACTGTACATTTATAGTTATGAAGAGCCTTTAAAAAATGGCAGAATACTGACCCCCCCCCCAAATACCCATCAGAAACACCCTGGGGAAAACAATCAAAGCTGATGCTTGAGGTGACTTGCTCTCAGTGCTGGGTGCCTGTCAATTCCATAACTCACTTGGAGGCTACCCTCAGCCAGAAAAAAGTTGATGGGCTGGATGGAACAAGGAAGAGGCAAAAAGCCTCTGTCGGCCATGAGAAATGCAGTTAAATAGGTTCCTGAGAAGACAACAGCCTCACTCAAGGTCATTTAACTCTCAGAATAACTAAGTGCTAGTGATCTCAGGCCTGGGAACATGTCAGCAACAAGAAGCAAAGAACCTAGGACATAAAATGCCCAGAGGACTCTATCTTCCAAGAAAGCAGCGGGTTGGTCTATTGCCAGATCACTGAGAGAAGAACTTAAATCTTTGGGGTCGCATTAGGACATGTTTTTCTCTTTTGGAAACTTGGCTTGAAACTTACTCGGGTGTAGCCATGGAGCAGAAGTGTTGATCAGAACAGGGCCAGAAAGAATGGGGTGGAGGTGGAGGCCATGCCAATCTGAATCTGCCTAGGAGCTGGAATGTCTAACATCACAACCAGAGAGAAAGATGCTCTACCTATTCAGAGCCTGTGCTGTCGTTCGCTGGATGGGCGACACCTGCCAAGCCTGTCTGAGGTTGTACCTTAAGGAATCTGAACTCTATGGACATGTGTCTCTTCATGCTCTTGTGTTTGTAGGGGAGAATTGGGAGAAGGGTCTTTACGTCCTTGCTTTCCAAAGACTAGTGCTTTGAAACATTCCTATCTTTTTGAAGCTTGGATTAAGAGGAAAAAGGATTTGATCAGAGGTCAGGCTTGGTGCCATTGGCAACAGTTCCAGCCTAAGAACGCAATGGGTGAAAATTTAGATAGGAGATATTGATACAGCTCTGGCCACTTTCATTAAGCTTAGAGATAAGACTATAAATTATGACCCTAATGTTTCACAAACCTCACTTCCTTTTATCTACTCTAGGTCGTCTCTCTGGACTATGCATGGTTTTGTCATCCAGATCATGTATTTCAGTAGGACAGATGGACAGGGCTAAGTATGTTTACCTCACATAGAGCCTGCCATGTATTAGGGGCTTACTAAAAAGTCTTGAGTTGAAACTAAACTGAATAACTATTTCAATAGTTATATAGGTTTATTTATTTCTTTTCTTTCTTATTCAGATTAGAATACCCAGGTCTTTGCCTCTTGTTTTTTTCCCATCTGCACTGCTTTAGATACAAAGTAAAGTATTTAAACTGTAAATAGTATTCACTCTAAAAAGTGAACAGATTTATAGGCCCTATGGCCCCTAAAATTGGGGGGACAAAGTCTCTAAAAATTTTAATAAAGAAAGGAAAGCAAAATTAAAATATGGTGGGAACAGCATATAGTATCATGTATATTATCAACATTAATTATTATCTTGCTTTAGGACTCTTTAAGTAAAATAATAACAATGATCCTATAAGATATCAGTAGTCTATGCTTTCTTTTTATTTCAATCATGCTTTATGGCCATATTACACTCACCTTCTGTAGCAAACTGCTCTAAATGTTTTAGCGTAATGTCTTTGTATTTTGAAGTCTCCGCCAGTCGATCATAAATTACAGTGTCCTGGAAAACAAACAGAAGGTATGATACACTAGAGTTCCTTATTCTGAGTTTAATAAAGTTGATGTTGGCAACATTATTAGCAGCAAATCAGTATACAAACAACCAATCACTTTGAGAATTGGTTTTAAAGCCTAAAATGGTTTCACCTAATAACACCGTTTCCCTAACGACATTAAGGAATACGGTTCTAGTTCTGTATTTTCATCTTTCTCCTCTCTGAATAAATCCGTCGTTACTCCAATGTTAAAAAATCTCACATTCTATCACTACTTCATCACCCACCTCTCACCCCCAAAGGTTGTGCAGAACACTGCAGGGTTCAGAGGTGCTACAAGGAAGTCTGGTCCAGTACTCAAAAGATTTGGGAAATGCTGGGCTGAACAAAGCTGAACAGCTTGCCTGGCTGCAAGACTTCTCAGAGCCTTTAAGATGCAAATGTGCACAGTGGATCTTTAAGGGCGGTGCCACGGTTGTGCTCCGAACTCACTCACTACTTTACCTTTTAGAGGTTAGGGCATCTTCAGGGGACTGGTGCTGACCAAAGAACAAACCCTGAGAGACACAGGTCTAAATCCACTTAGAGGGTTGATGGGTGTAGTAGGGAGAATCTTGGATAGACCTCGCATTGTCTTACAGCTGAATATTTCTGACTGTGTCACGTTAGCTTTAAGACTCAATTTACTTCGTCTGTAAAATCCAATTACTGGATTATCTTTCAAATCCTTTTCAGCTTTACTTTTAGGCACCACTTATGTTTCTCTAATTTTTGCCCCTTTATAAATTGCCTATTTTTCTTTCAGTCATTTTTCAGTTTGGGTTTAGTGTTTGAAGAATTTTAGTATTCAGCTTTCATGGTTTTATTAGACCAGGAAAAAATAAATCATTTACCTGTAATTACTTTCTCAGTGGTATTACCCATTTTGGGGTCTCTAGTCTCAGGGCTGAGATTTGGAAGCAGACTAATGGACTATGATTTAGAACCCCTGAGAGAAACAGAACTTAGTGACCTCAGAACACATGGAATATTCCAGGCCCCAATTATGAATTTCTTTTCATTCTTCAGTGGCAGAATGGGAGCGGGGGGCAAAGCAAAAGGAAATGATAATTTCCCCTCATGGTTCCATTCTGAAAATAAAAGGTATAACTTATGAACCCTATTTTTTTCCAGAGGCTAATGAAATTTTCAATGAAATTAAAATAGGCCATTTAAAACTAATTTTTAAAAATCAACTTAAAAAATCTTTTAAAAATTAAAATCATGTAAGCAAAAGTGATAATAAGACCAGCAAGATGAAATTCTGCAATGTAGTCAACCATCCTAGTGAAAGAAACCAATGTTCATAATAGGTGCATTTCCTACTTTCTTTACAGTATCAAAAAAAGCAGGTCGCAGAATGCGCTTTTCTGCATGAATTATACAGTATGTTTTTAAGCGACAATCCCAAATGGCCATGCTTAAATGTGAAAAATCTATACATACAGATACTTCTCACCCAAAGTAACACTCATTTACTCAGGGGGCTATGTCAAATATTTGGTACATTGTTAGGAACCAAAAAGGTGCTTCTCCTAGGACCAGATTTAGAAGAGGCTGAGTCTACATTTACCGAAAATCCTCACTGGGTTTACTGATCTGGTGTCCTAGTCCTTGGCAAAGTCAAAGTGGAAAATCACGGTGTGGGTCTGCTGCTGGAGTGGCACGGCACAGTCAGGTTACAGTCACTTATGTCAAGGGCCTAGGGCTTCATGATGAAAACTCTTAGGTGAATTCCATTCAAACACTGTTCTTCCTATTCACCTTTTAGACTGAAGTTCCAGTGTTGCTCTGTCCTTACCTACAGTGCTTTGCACAGGACAGGTGTTCAAAAAGTGTGTTCAATGAATAAAAGACTGGGAGTAATCCCCAATTATCCTGAAATTTCACTTTACGGAATACCACATTAGACAATACTGTCATATAAAGGACTACCATGAAGGCCAAGGGTCAACAATAAGAAGGGAGAAAGTAGAAAAAAGAGGTTTTACATAATCACTTATTTAAGCACTGCAATTTATGCTGAAATTATCTAGATGATTTTGCTATAAATTAGCCAATCACCACCAAGGAACATGATCTTGTTGTCAAGTTAAACAAGACTGACCTCTGCAATAAGTTTGGGCCCTTGTGAACTGGAAGGTTGGCTGAAGACATTAGACACATCTACGTTTAAACCTAGACAAGCACCTTCCGGGTTTCTGTGTGCCAGTCAGAATGATCTATATACTTTGCCACTGATGTGGTGGTGAACTGCTAAAAATAACTAATTTCAGATGTGGTCTTTTGACATATGGCACAGAATTTTACTTAGGGGGCCCTTAATTTGAAATTTTCAGTCACTTTACGGTCCTTACAACATTAAGTGTATTAATCAAGTTTCTCACTTCTCTGATATATGAGTTTGGAGTAAGATTTCTAGCTTCTTGAATAAATAAATTTTTTTTGTGTGTAAATGTAACTTTTTCTAAATTGGCAACTTTTTCTAAATTGGCAGATATAAGTTGTGTATGGTGCACTTTTTAAATTTTATTTAAAAATTAACAAAGCAAGACATCCTCACTGCAAAAAATCTGGAAAAAAGCAAGAAAAATGTCATCCGTAAATACACACACACACCCATCCATCCACCTACAATCTTTGTGCTATATTCTGGATGAGCTCTTCAGTACTATCTTCCAATTCACTAACTTCATCTCCACCCCTTCAACCCTGTCTACTCTAGAGTTTACTCCATTTACTGATGTTTTTTTTTCTTAAATTTGTTAATGATTTCTAATTTATCTTATAGGTATCCCCCTTCTCTTCCCTCCCCCCAATTCTTTTTTCATTAGAATAGTTGTAATTTCTTTATCATGCTGAGCTGTAAATATCCTTTGTCAGATTGGCCTACACAGATGACTGCATCTGGAGTGAATCCATGGTCCAGTTGTTTATGTATGTGCTTGTTCTCTCTTTGGCGTGAGATTTCCTCATGTGTCTCTCAGTTTTGCTCTTGCTTTTTCCCTCTTTGCCTACATCCCACTCTTGTGGGTTTCTACAACCCCCAGCAGAGGTTGGCAAGAGCTTCTCTTCATCTCATCTCATGATTAGAAAGGGCACTGCTGTCTCAGGCTTCAGAGAGGGGAGGCTGGACTCCTATCTGCACTTTATAGAAAACTCTATTTGCCCCAATGGCCCCAGAGAAACCAAACTTCAGCCCAATGCTCCCCAATTCCGAACCCAAGGCCTGCGACTCCCACCCTACTCAGCTCAAGACTTTGTTCCAATGTACCTCTTTGATTTTCTATTCCTATTTTGGTCTACAAAGGTGTTTACCTTGCTTTTGGGCCTGGTTTTATCTTTGTGTTTTATACTATATGCATTACTGCTCTGATTTTGGATAGAGGAGATACAACCAAGTATGAACAGACTATGCTACCTTGCCTGGGAAGTATTATCGATGACTTATTAACTGACTTTTATTACTAAAGTATCGGGTTGCACTTGTCACTGTTGATTATTCCCTCTACCTAGGAACCAGCAGACTCCTCAGACTTGCCTCCAAATTTCAGTCCCACCTCTTGGATCCTCTACCTTTCACCTTTAGTCCTCCTCTCTACTCCTGTAATATTTTCTTCATGCGAGATCTCATTAATCCCCCGCTTTTAGTTTCCAGCCATACTTGTTAACCCCTAAATCTGTACAGGCATCCCAGATTTCTTTCCCTGTGAAATCCAGGTATTTCTGCTTAATGGCCCAGATGTAGTTCTCAACCCTCTATCTTGGTAAATGGTATCACTTAGTAAACTCTGTTAGCCAAGTAGAAATCTGGCAATAATCCTAGATTATCTTTTTCCTCATCACCCACATGTAATCAATTACCAAATCTTAAATCTCTGTTCTCTTAATGCTCCCTGCAACTATCTTGGTTCAGATCTTTACCAACTCTTGTCTGGACTACTGTGCTCAACTGGTGACTCTGTATGCATCTCTTTTCTGCTTTAACTCATCTTCCTAAATGGCATCAGAACAATCCAGAAGACAAGGTACAAGTTCTTGAGCATGGAAAAAAACCCATGACCTAACTCATGTCTATCTTTCCAGCCTTGCATTCTGCTATTCCCTGCCAAATTACCTGTACTTCTTAAGTGTACCTTGCTATTTTTATGTTTATGTCTTTCCAGTATTTAACCACATTTCTTGGCCAATTTGGGAATGGGGGGAAAACAATGCAAAAAGCAAGTTAATGTGTGCAAAGTCTCTCTGTGACTATTCAAAAAGGAAGTCAAATGTTTTCATTTTTCATTCAATGCTTTAACTTCCAAATGAGTTTCTAGGTAGAAGATTACTCAAAACTAAGAAAGATAGAATGTGAGCTGGGTGTAGTAAACTGGACACATATCAACCATTGAAAGTGGGAGGCCTTAAATAAGGCTCTCTTTTTCCCTTATCACTGAATGTTATCACTGAGGTGTGGAAGATCTTTACAAGACATCTTGATGTTATATCCTAATCGTCTCTTTATATATATTTCCCTGGCTAGTCTTAAGCTCATGACAAGTCTTGGGTCTTACTTTCCTATCTCCAACATCCCATTCAAAGTCTGGTAGATAAAATACCCACACCTAATAAATGTTACCATATTTCCCCATGTATAAGACACTCCCATGTATAAGACACACCTTAATTTTGGGGCCCGAGATTTGAAAAAAAATGTATTACATAAAGTTATTGAACTTACGTTTTATTCATCATAAAATTCATACAACTCCTCATCACTGTCAAAACTCCCAACCTTTAGCTTATCCTCATCTGTGTCTGATGACGAATCACTGTCTTCATATATTGCCTCGCCCTCAGTTCCATCTATGGCATTTGAAATCTACAACCACTGTATAAGACGCACCCAGTTTTTAGACCCCAATTTTTTCGAAAAAAGGTGCGTCTTATACATGGGGAAATATGGTAACCGCTTCAATGAGCAACCAAAAGAATTCTAAAACTAAATTCATGAAACATCAGAAATAGTTCTACCAAATGCTTTAAAACCAGGCATTCAATAATTGCATCTCAATGCTTCAAAACCAAGGCATTGAAAAACACCTTCAACAGGAATTAAATAATAAGCTTGAACTTCATCATAAGTTGTTTCTGAGTTCCATGTGATAAAGCAAGTTTGTTGATTATATTGAAAATTGCAGTGTTCCAAGTTAGTAAGTTACCTGACTAGTCCAAGTAGACTAGGTACTTGGAAAGGATAATTTGGAAGGGAAATACTGACTCATTTAAAGAACAAAAACAACAAAAGGCTCTGATCAGTAGATTTCTTATTTTTCCATGAGTGGAAACATATTTTAACCCGGAAAATTCAGTGAGCATGACATATTACTGTTTCTGTCAATATACCAAGCCCAACCAATAGCTAGAAATTCTCTTATAATTAAAACAATGCCAGACAAATAGTGATCATTACATGAAGAAATTATAGCGGCAATTGTGATCCAAATTTCCCCTCATTTCTATGGTTTTTAAAAAATGAGACTCAAACTGGTGTGGCTCGCTACATTTCTAATACAATTTAAAAAACAATTTCTGTAAGTGTCTTCTTATTTATATACTATAAACCTCAACTATTATGTATCAAAACTTAAATTATATAAATAACCTCGGCCAAACTTTTCAAAGCGCCAAATTTACCCAGAAGAAACTCCGTGTTTCACCAGAAGAGGCTGAATGCTATTACCATAAAACACCAACAAAAGTGGATGTCAGCAACTTCATGCTAAACATCTGTGTTACATTTCCATAGAAGAATGCTTAACATATACATTAGAAAGCATCATAAATCTAAACTGCAAAAGACAAAAATAAAAACTTACAGCTCCTTTGCAGTAAAGTCGTAACTTCCCGGATGGAGTGCGAACAATCACTGACATTCTTTTTCGAGCACTGAAAGAAAAAGGTTTTCCATAATTTGTCATCATACCGAGAATATGCATATATATATATATATATATATATATATATATATATATATATATATATATATATATATATGTTTGTCATGCCTCATATATTTTAATACTCACAGTGAAAAAATAAATTTGACCAAATTATGAGCCGTATCCCTCCACATACACAAACCATCCTCCGGGTGTACAATGGGTACCTTTGAAAGTTACGTTATGTTTTTTAAGGCACCAGGGTACCATCTGCTGCCCTAGAGGAATAATTTACAAAACAGCTCTTCAGAGACCTACAGGAGTTAGTATCCACCAGGGTGGAGGGGAATTGTGGTTCAGTGTGTTCCGATTTAAAAAAAATATTTAAGCGGGTATCTTTTAGGATGAATTACAGCTTTTATTAAAACAGAAATGATAATCAATTTTAAGGACATACCCAATCACATGTAAAGGAAAACACTAGCACTTTAAAAGTGACTTAAGCATTCACAATTATTGTTTCTAAATGGTGACCAGCAAACCACTGTCATCATGTAAAAGAACCTAATTTATACTGCAAAGCTAAGCTAACATTTTAACACTGTGTCGATGATATAAACAGTTTAATAAAAACTGTAGGTCAAACATATAATGTCTTTCAAAGCATTAGCAAAGAGACAGCAAATGACACTGAACAGGACAAGTCGGTACAGCACAGCACAGGATAAGCCTCATTGGGAACCAAGCGTGTATAAGCATTCTCTCCAGAAATGAGGAGAAAAAGGGACTTATCAAGTGTCTGCATCTGTTTTTTTTTTACATTAGAATGTCCTGCTGCTAAAAAACTGAGACAAGTACAATATTAAGTAGCAGTTAGAAATGGTGTCATAGCATACAGCCAGGAGTTTCTTTCAGAGGTATCTCGAAATATTTAGTCCTCTTTTTCTCCATCTAGAATCTCCATTGTGCAGTCATGCACCACATAGTGGCATTTTGGTCAATGACACACTGCATTTATGACGGCGGGCCCATAAGATCATAATGGAGTTGAAAAATTCTTGTCGCCTATTGAATCCATCATAATGTCATTGTGCAACACATCACTCACCTGTTTGTGGTGACGCAGGTGTAAACAACCCACAGCAAGTCATATAAAAGTAACAGCACATACAATTATGTACAGTACGTAGTACTTAATAATGATAATAGATGATTATGTTACTGGTTTCTGTATTGACCATGCTATACTTTCTATAGTTATTTTACAGGGTACTCTTTCTACTTATTAGAAAAAAAGCTTGCTGTGAAACACATGCCATGTTACACCAGCTGCGGCCTCATATATCTCGTGTGGACTTCCTCTCTTGATTGCATTATTTTCTCATGCTTGATTTAACCTTGTGTTGTTTTGCTCATCAGGGCCCCTAACCATTCACACGATGAAATCACCTAATGACACATTTCTCAGAATGTATCCCTGTTGTTGACACATGACTGTATCAGTACCTCCAATCTCTACCCCTGTGCTTTAGGAATACATTTGATTGGTCCCCTGTCATTGTAATGACATCTGTGTATTCTTGATTCATGTCTTTCTTAACCCAGCTTTGATGACAAAGTCCCAAACTCATCAACTTCCTTGCACTTCTCTTCTCCTGGCAAAACTCCCAAATCCTGGGTGAATGGGAACCCTTTCTGCGGTACATCACAGTAAGTGGATACTGCTGGGGAAGTCATCCCTCCAGTGACTAGTGACTACATGACACCAACATCAAATGGATGCTCCACAGTGCCCAGGAACCCACTACATTTTTCTAACAAGCCTTCTCTCACACCCTCTGCAGGACCATGAACACCTTCTCTATTCTCTATGTCTCCAGTGCGCCCGCCTCCCTCTGGCCCCTTCGAGTTTTTGCAGTTCACCTTGATGGAAGCCTTAGGCAAGAAACCCCTATTCTTTCTGCCATTAAAACCTCTGCCTCTTTTCTTGATACAATAGAGAAAGCATTTCGTTTCCAATCAGAGACCTTCCTTTCACTTGTGCTGGGAACCCTCTCTCACTGCACTTTCTTAGTAATCTCACCCCTAAAGTTACGGTGCTCTCTCCTGGATCTCTACCTTCTCCTTCTGGAGTGGATCCTTCTCCCGAGTTATTTCAATCCATTCTAGTCTCTCTCCTGTGAAACTCACCCCAAACAGCCCTCGCCCATCAAGCCACATCCCCTTTGAACTCTCTCCCCATTGTCCTTCCCAGCTCAACTTTCAAAATACTCACTATCACTACATATATACACTGTTTCCACTTCTGTCCCCTTCCCATCATGCTTCTCTCATCACCGTTCCACGGAATGGCTAAATCCAACACATACTTTTCAGCCTGTCTCTTACCTGACCTTGCAGCAGTTCCAGACATGGACGACCTCTCTCCTCGGATCCCTCTCTTCTCTGGGCTCTGTACCACTATCCTTTTTTTATCCTCTACTTCCCTATCCACAAGCAGCCTCTCTTGCTGATTCCTCTTTTCCTAACCCACCTTTAAGAGTTGGAGTTACTCATAGGTCAATCCTCAGCCTTTCTTGTTTCCCTAACTCTGTATTTTATATCCAGGAGACCCAACTCATCTTCATGGCTTTAAATAGCATGTACAGGCCCGTGACTACCACATTATATTTCAGCCATGCTTTTCTTTTATGCTTCAGGCCCTTATGTCCAACTGCCTACATCTGACACTGCCATTTTTATATCTCACAGGCATCTGACACTTAACGATTCAAACCTCTCATCCTCCACATCTATTCCTATTCCTGTATCTGCCATCTGTGTAAATGGTACCTCTATCCACCCAGCTGCTCATGCGAGGGGCTCTAACCCCTCCCTCCTTTCTCCTTCTACATCCAATCCATCCCAAAGTCCCCTGATATACCTTAAAACATAGCTGAATTCTATCAACTTCACTTTATTTTCATTACCATCACCCTAGTCTAAACCACAATGTCTTTCACAAAGACTGTGTTTATACCACCATATTCACTTTTCTCACTTTTATCCTTAAGCCTACCTCCATCACAGCATCCTGAAAAATCCTCAACTCCTAACCTTGCTTTTTTCTCCTTTCTTTTAAATTTTATTAAATTTATTGGGGTGACATTGGTTAATAAAATTATATAGGTTTCAAGGCTTTATGTTTCTTCAAGGTGCTTATCACTTAGCATAGTGCTTTTAAGTGTGTGTTAATAAACAAATATATCCAAATGCTAGTTGATACACTACTTATAATATTTTATAATACAAGGAGGCTTAGGAAAAACAGTCACTTTGACATAAAAAAAAAGAGATTGGGGACACACTTTAGGAATACTCTGTTACAGTTTATCATCCAATTTCCTATGCATTTTCCCTTGAGTCTTTCAGTGCATACAAGTAAAGAAAACAGTGTTTAAATAATAAATTAGAGAGACCCCCATTACTTTTGGTATTAACCATGGGCATGTGGGCACTCCCAACCAAGACATCAACCACAGATGGCAGAGAGAAGTAAATGCCTTTTCTAGTCAACATATAAGCCTGTCTATATGGGAGAAACTTCAAGAAAAAAGGTGGACACTTATTTCCCTGAACAGCAGTGTTACTTCCTGGTGGGAGCCTGGAAGATATTTTTAAGAGTCCTGTGAATGCAAGACCCTCCTGTTTGCAGCTGAGGCCTATTTGCCCCAAGAATGTAGGTTAGTTGAAAAACTACATAGTCGTGTAGGAATAAAAAACCAAAAACTCATCGAGTTATTACCGATTATAATGAAAGGCCCCTATTATTAACCTTAAGAAATCAAGTAGGATGACCTCTCTGTTTTCTGGTTTTCCCATCAGGTGATAACTGATTTTATATCTAAGAGAGAGATGGATATGTTTTCCAAAATCCCAAAAACAATGAGATATGATGAGCACATCATTGAATGGTGGGTTCCTAACTCTGATTCATCGTCACTCCACATAAATATTGGTCCCTCTACGTATAACAGTGTTTCCAGGTCACGAGCCATAAAACTCCTGGTCCTATACCCCATGGTTGTGATGTAGACAGTCATGTTCAAAAATATTTTTACACTATCTTCAGGAGTCATACCTTGTACCATTCTGAAGAAAGCTATCTATGATTTATTTGTAGCTACAACAATTAAAAACTGTACTGAAGAGTTTAATATTTTGTCTAAGTTTAGTTAAATCTAAATAAAGCATACTTTCTAATTATTTAAAAGGGGAAAAAAATGACAATAGATAAAAATTTATCTCATACGCACAAATCACAGAACAGATGTTTTACCTGGTGAACTCCAGGACATTGAGCAATTCATATCTTTCTTCTTGCCCCAGCTATGAAGAAAAGCAATACATGATTACATAAAGTTGGAAGGATCTTTGGCTTCTTGGAAATGAACCCTAGTCATGAAATATTAATGTAAAAACAATGTTAACACAAACAAATTGTCCCTTCTGAAATATATCATCTATAATTGGACTTACTTTCAGGTTAACATGGAAGGCTGACCATACACATTTAATTTCTGTTCTTCCCAAAGCCCCACTAGAACTATAGGAAGCACTTAAAAAGAAGGAAAGAAACTAGTTATGGCAGGAAAATGAGAAAAGAGACAGTAGCACCAAAAATTTGGAAGCTAGAAAAGAGATCAATGAGTGGTATCTTACTTAGCAGATACAAGAAGGTAAAATACTATAGTAGTCCTGGGGAAAGCTGAGAACCAACCCGATTGGTCCTACATAATCCTTAAAAGGTTGGGGTAAAGAATGGGAGGACCAAGTAAGAGCTACTTGAAGAGCAGCACTCAGCATGGGCCTTCCTGCAGAAGACCAGAGGTTTTGCTCTATAAAGGGTGAAACAGAGGATCATCTGTCCAGAAGTTGACTGGCACAGTTGAAGATATGGCATTGTTATATTCATACTAAATGCTGGGCCCCAATATGCAAACCTACTCAGTGAACCTACATGGTGGCAGCCAGACCTTTCCAGGAAGAAATCTGGAGATTTAGTCTCTGGAGAATCCAACAAGCCCAGGAGATGCCCTAAAAGAACAGACACCCCAACCTTCCAAACTAATCCTACTAGGCCACCCTAAAGTGAAGCTCAATGTTGGAAAATACTCTCATGTGCAGAACTGCCTCACTCTTAACTGTGAGAATCCCAAAGATTAACAGATATCTAAGGAAAGCCACCAACATGGAACATAGACACCCCAAATAAATAGATCAAGGCGACTGGAAGAAAGACAGTGCAAAAATAAAACTTCCTGTCAGCCCATGAAGTTTCAGGTTCTGGGTTTCCTGATGGGCATGGGGGCTGGTGAGCAGGTCCCGGATGCCTCTTCACTTAGTGTCAACACCAGATTGAAGTGGTTTGTCACATGCTTCATCTGCAGCATTTTCTTCTATCATTGGAACTGCACTGCTGTGGCTTCCTGATGGTATAAAACTTTTACAGTGCTTTATACCCTTGAAAATATTGCTTCACTAGCCAGCATATGCTTTTTAATGGAATCCATGAAGAAAATGTTTGAAACAATAAGATTGCGTGTAACAATTTCTGTGTTTTGGAGATTAATATTTATACCCTGTGTGCTGCTCTTTGGTGGTATAGGAGGAGATTGGCTGTATTTTTCTGCATATTGCAGTTCTTGTCAAAGACTTGGTATAGTCTATCATACATCCCATATGCAAGGGATGCAGTAATTAAATGCTGTTTTTCTCCTAAGTAGAAAATGAAAAACTTTGAAAAAGAACACTTGAAAGCTGATGTTTAATTTTTGGTAAAGTATGCTTTTTCCCAAAACAATAATTACTGCAGAAAACAACTGCAGTGATAGTTTAAGACCATTTTATATTCTGGTAAACTCTCCTGTATAGTTAAATTGTTATGCTTGTAAATTTCCCTTTAAATGAAAACTTCAAAAAAACTATCATTATTCCTCTCAGAGAAGTAACATAAGTATGACATTCTTGAAACAAGAACAGGATACTATTAAAAAAGAAATATTTAAAGAACAAAAAAGCTTCTAGAAATCAAAACTATGATAGCAGAAATAATAATAATAATAATAATAATAATAATAATAATAATAATAAAATCAATAGAAGGCTAAGAAGACAAAGCTGAGGAAAAACTCCAAAAAGCAAAACAAAAAGGCAAAGATCTGAAAAGCATGAGAAAAAATTGAAAGGTTAGTTCAAGAATTCTAAAGAGAGAGCAGAGCAAAAAGAGGGAAGGAAATGGAATCATTTGAGAAAATTTTCCAGAACTGATAGCACATTAATTTGCAAATGGAAAAGGGCCCACCCAGTGCTCAGTATAATGGGTTAAAATATTCCCACTAAGGGACGCGAACATAAACTTTCAGAGCTCTTGGGAGAGAGAAGCTCCTACAACTTTCCAGAGAGAGGCGGTGGGAGCAAGTCACAAAAAATGTGGAATCACAGTGGCTTCTGATTTCACAATTTGGTGTACTGGAAGCCAGAAGACAGTAAAACAATCAAAATTCTTAAAAAAAAAAGATTTTCACTCTGGAATTCTATACTCAGCCAGATTAAAAATTATTAAGTATAATGATAGGACAAAAAATGTTTAGACTTGAAAGGACTAAAAAATAAATAAATAAATTACTCCCCATGCATCATTTCTCAAGAAGCCACTAAAGAATGTGTCCCACAAAAACAAAAGAGCAAACCCAGAATAAGGAAGATATGGGATTTAGGAATTAGAAGATCTAACACAGGATAGAGGTAAAGAAAGTCCCCAGAGAGATAGGACAGTGATTCCAGGGTGACAACTATGAGCAAGACTTTGTCAACTACTACATCATAGAGCCCTGAGAGTCAGGCGCTGGGCTTGCTGACAGCTACCACTACTGTGTCCTCTGCTCCTGGAACAACGTTTTAACCTGACAACACTGACAGAGTATGTGTTCCATCAGAACAAGGGTGTTCACTAAGAAAGAAGATTTGAGATATAGGGAATAGTCTAAAACAGAAGAAAATCAAAAGGAACTCCAAAATGCCGCAGAAGGCAGCCGTGGAACAAAACTGGCCCATACCAAGGAGAATGAGGGGCTTCAAGAGGGGTGACTCAAGAACAGAACTGCCAACTGACAGATTATCTGATACAAGCGTTCTCTAAAGGGGACAATTAGTAATAGGTGGAAGGAAAATTAAGCAATTCAAAAAGAGGGATTTATCATTAGGAAATAAAGGAAAGAATTATTTTCAGGAAATAGTTTTATGTCAGGAAACAAAACGGAAATATTTACTGAATACAACAATGTTCAGCTATGAATAGTGATACAGGTGTAATAATATAAACACTAAACATTTTAATGAGATATAATTTATATGTTAATACAGTACACAGACCTTAAATGTATAGTTCAATGAAAATTATATAGTTTGACAAAGGTATCCTCGGTGTAACCATCACCCCAATCAAGATAGAACATTTTCATCGCCCTATAAACTCCTTTGTGACCTTTTCCAATCAATCTCCTCCCTGATCCTGAGGCAACCACTGTTTGTAATTCTACCACCACAAATCACTTTCGCCTAATCTTGAGCTCAACATAAGTGAAATTAAAGGGTATGCACTCCTTTATGCCTGATTTTTGTTTTGTTTTGTTTTTCTTTTTTGCTTAACATAATGTTTTTGAGACTTATCCACGCTGGTAATGAATTAATAATTCCTTCCCTTTTATTGTTTAGATAGTCCATATCACAGTTTGTTTGCCCATTTTCCTCTTAATGGGCATTTGGTTTGTTTCCAGTTTTGGGCTACTATGAACATTCCACTAGACATCTTTTTGTGGAAATAAGCTTTCACTTCTCCTGGGAAACTATGAGTACAATTGCTGGGTCAGGTACATGTTTACCTGCGTTAGGAAACTCTAAAAGTTTTCCACAGCAATGGCATCATGTTGCACATCTACCAGCAAGACCGGGCTATGCCATGTGCTCTGTATTCTCATTAACACTTGGTGCCATTGGTTTTCATTTTAGCACTTTTGGTGGCATGTAGTGGAATTTCATTGTGATTTTAATTTTCATTTCCCTGATGACTAACAATGTGTTTTTTCATGTGTTCATGGGCCATTCAGATATCTTCTTTTGAGAGATGTTTGTTCAAGTCTAACCAAAGTCTGAAATATAATTATAATAATATTGGGAAGGGATGGTGAGTCAGGAGAGATAAATCCTCCTTTAACATAATTGACTAGAAAGTCAATAGATATGTCTGAAATTGAAGAATCAAATTGTATATCGTTAATTGCATATATTTTTTGAAAATATGAGATCTATAAATGCCTGAAGAAAGAGATAAAAGCACAGAAAGTGGTTGCTTCTGGAGAGGGAAATTGGAGTCGGGAACCGCTATTTTATTATGAGCCTTTTGGTATTGTTTGTGCATTTTATCTTTGAAGCTACACATATGTATTACTTTGATGAAAAAGATAAAATTTATTTTGACGATAAAAAGAAATAACTTACCGAATCTATAATCACTGAGTCAGGTGTTCTTCCAGTGAAAACAAAATTCAATTGCTTGGCTGCTCTGACCAAGGCTCCCTCATCTGTTTTGGGAAAATAGTTGAAAGCAAATACATGGTGAAATAAAAATTATCCCCAATACCAGAGAAATACATTACTGTAATATAATTTTCTGTTTAATTTTAAAAGAATTAAAATTCTTTTTATTCTAGCCTGTTATTGAAATTACTTTTAAAATTATGTGACAATGTCAAAGGAATGAGTGGAATAATCTTAAGGATCTGAGATAAGTACAGACCCCAGAGTCATATATCTGAAGATTAAGTCTCACTCTGAGTCATATATTAGAAGGAAAATTTAAATGTACTCCTTGTGCCAGAATATTCCATAGAAAACCTTTCTAAAATGAATGACACAAATCTGCCTTGTTTTATGATTTTTTCCTCCTCAAACGTTGATCGTAGAAAAACTACTACCAATTGAGAATTCAACTGAAATGGATATAAATGAATTGATGCTTTGTCATACATTATTTACTTTAATCACCAGGGTATATCAAATCTTGTTGCTGAGGGTAGAGTGTGGGATAAGAGAACATTCACATAGTTTCTATCTCAACAATATGAGATGTAACATTTCTTATATTTAGTAGAAATTTGGTACATTCTACAAGGTCACAGGTGTTGGTTTAGAATATATTTCAAAATATTTACAACAAAGTTCTCCAAAGTGTGTTCCTTCTTTCCTAAAATCTTACAATAATCAGATTGATTATTTACCCAATTTTACATTGAAAATAGGCCTAAAATTACTGATAACTGTGCTAATACATATTTTATGGAATCCCTTCAAATGTGTAAACTGTCCTCATCCAAATAAATACACAACAATCTCATTGATTATCATTTCCAAAAGAGGAAAGCAAAATTGGTATTCTAAAATGCATACGATTTAGTCAAATAGATCTTTCTTTTTCTGTCTGCTTATGTGTAAAAACAGTTTATACTAATAGTTTATTATTAGTTTTTTATAAAGAAAAGAGAACTTACTATATACATATAAAAAAGTATTTTTACTTGTGTGAACTTTGTTATTCAAATTTCCATCATTTATGTCATCTACCAAAAATTATATATACAAAGTTTTGTATTTTAAAATGTATATTTAATTCTAAAAGCCAAAGTTTTCCTAATTAGTAAATAACTTTTTTTGTCTAAAAAAAATAAGTTGGTTATTTATTTTTTTTTTATTGTTTTTTTTCTTGACAGTATCAAATTTCAGAACAATTTTCCACTCCAAAAAAAATTTTATTTTTTAATTCTAAAAGCCAAGGTTTTCCTAATTAGTAAATAACTTTTTTTGTCTAAAAAAAATAAGTTGGTTATTTTATTTATTTATTTTATTTATTGTTTTTTTTTTCTTGACAGTATCAAATTTCAGAACAATTTTCCACTCCAAAAAAATACATCACAATTGCTTCATTTGTACCTGGAGATGCTGCTTGATAAATAATCGTATCACCCTCTCGCTCTGGTACTGCTGTGTGACAAACTGCCATCATTGTAAGGAATTCACATATTATAGGTGCAGTTGGCTGTAAGAAATAAACACATAATTTAGCCTTTTTCATTTAAACATTTGACACTAGTAATAGAAATATTACTTTATGTCTATTAAGAATATAGCTGTTAAATTTTGAAAGTGTGAAGTTATAGCCAACTAAGAAGCCAACAATATTATGAAGAAAATATATTTTAACTAAAATCATTCATTCTTGAATTCTCTCCTTCATTTTCTAAATATTTATACTAGGCAACTTTGTGTTGTCAAATAGAAACTACACAGTAAAAATGGTAGATATGGTGGATACTGTCCTCAGAAGACAGGAGATAAATTCTAAAATGTTCATTTATTTGGTTCTAATTCCTGATCAGATGTACATTTTAGGCATCTAACTGTACTGTGGTTCCACTACTTTGGGTTGGGGTGATGATGGCAGGGGGTTCCTCTGTAATGCTGTGTCTTCCCTCCCTCCAAAAATTGCAAGCATAACCTGATACATGTTTTACTAAATAAAAATGAATCGATTGAGCAATTCCTATGCACAATGGACTCTTACAACCTGAGGAAAACATAAAAGTGAATTCTTTCTGCAAGGAGCTTAGAGTTTACAGGAGAAAAGAAGTCAGGCCTTTTAGAGTAAACATCTGTCTGCCTCTCTGGCTCCTGATGAAGAAAAATGTCATTCAAATTAATAAAGAAAAATATTCCTCTAAGATGTTGGACAAAAAAAAAAAAAAAAGTGAAGTGACTGGGAAACTAAATCAGAACACTACTTGAAAAAACTGTGCTCAAGTTAGAATAGTAGACAAAACAGACATGGTGCCTGCCCTGTGAAGCTTTGACTTGTGGGAAAAACAGAACACAGATACATACACAAATATTATTTATTTATGGAGTGAAAAGCGCTATAAAGAAGAGAATGTGCAAATATCATATAATGTGATTTGGGCGAGTTTGTGGTTGTTTTCAAGAAAATGTGATATTGAAGCTGATGATGTTTAGCCTCTTGAGAAACTAAGCAAAGTTTTCCATCAAGCATGACAGAAAATATCCTGAAGAAGGAAATAATGAAGCGTGTTTACAAGAATGCCAGTGTGGCCTGAGGAGAAAAAAAGGGCGAGTGGCTCCAAGGTTGGCGACGTAGGCCTGGGCCAGATCACTTAACCTTATAAGTTAAGAGGGAAGCCAGAGAATGGTGTCAAACAGGGACGTGATAGAACTTGATTTCCATTTGCATCACTGCAGTTGTCTGGTGCAGCAAGAATTGGAGGGGAGTAAAAATGGAAACAAAGAGGCTGGTTAGGAGGCTACCATGGTAACTCACACAGGGGATGCTGGTATTCTGGACTGGGGTAGTGAAAGTGAGAATGAAGTAAAGATGACATTCCGGGTATATTCTAGAAGTCAGTATTGACAAGGACTTGGTGACTCTATAGATATGGAGACAGAGGGACAAGGAGGTATCAAAAGCAACCTTTAAGTTCCTAGAAGAGTAATGAGGTAGGTGATGGTGTAATTTACTGAACCTGAGGACACAGCGGGAAGAGATGGTCTAGCTCTAGGTTTTAGGAAACTAGTATTTGGTTGAAGGCTCTCTTAAGAAAAAAAGGATACAAAAATATCCACAGGCACACACTGCTACAGAGGGAGATGCTTTGGGGTCATGAGTATGAGTTCAAGTTTTGACATAGAACTCTAGGAAACCCTATCATTTGACCTGATGGAATTTTAATAAGTTCCAGTAGCTTCATAAGTGGAATGTTCACATTGGGAGGCAGATGTCTAGAGCTCTTCTTGTACAGATTTGGCACTGACCTCTCATTTTGAGCAGGTAATTCATTTCCGTAGATATTTTGCAATGGTTAATAGTGAGTTGTTTCATAAATAGGGTTCTTATGTTCAACATAAAACATTTTGAAAGATACAATATTAATAATGATAATATTAAAAGCAAATTTCAAATAACCATGAATTCATGTTGGCTAAGTAAAAAAAAAAATTTAGCAATAGATTTTGATAATTATTAAAAATAATCATAAAATTTAAAAAAAGTATAAAGATGGAAGATAATTAAGATCATTAGTTTTCCCTCATTAATGAAAATATAATGCTTTTATGTCACTTACATGATTGTTTTGGAGATTTTCCAGCAATGATGAATCACTAAATGTTTTTTCGTCTCCAAACTGTGAGCTCTGCCTAAAGGGGAAAAAAATGGAGCAAACTTCGTTCATTTACAGCAGTTCACTGATCAATCTGTAATTTTTTAAATAAGTCATTATGCCGGCAAACCTAATTGATTAAATATAATATAGAGTGCATTGCTAAATAAGACAGCACAGATTTCATGACTGAATCATAAACTATTTTCAAGCATTCTAAAATGCTACAGACTTTTGCAGTGTAATGAAAAATAGCATAAAGTTCATTTTCCTGGAGTGAAATTATATTATAGTCACATGAAATTTTAAAAAATTAATTTAAAAAATGTAACAAACTGCTAAAAAACCTGGATTACATTTCTTCAAATTCCATAATTTTTTCAAGTTTAGGAATTCTGAGAATTAAGTTATTGTAAAAAGTAATATTGATTAATTCTTTTACTTTAGCTTATGAGAAATCTTTTTTTGTAGTTACTAACACTACACGATTATCATATGAAATATAAAAATATGAATAAACTGTTTACATATTTAATCACCACTAACAAATATCTGATATATTTACATACATGTCACATTTGTTCTGTATATATGAGGGGAACAGATCATAAAAGTGTTTGGGATTTTTTCTGTGTTGTGGCTATCTTCAGGTCAGCAGACACATTATGTACTTCATATGAAACAAATAGAGTCAGAATTGCCTTGGTAATCTAGCTATTGTTAATCTCATGGCCATGCAATTTAATATGAAAATGTTGAGATGCACAGAAGAACAAGGAACATTTAAGTGGGAATGTCAAACCCAAAGGATATACTTTGCAACATTCAGTTAAAATGTATAGGTATAAGCTGTAGTGCATAGAAGAAAATTTCAGAAATAATTCACCAATAAAAAAATGTGTCAGATATTAAATAACTATAACCTAGAAAACTTTTAATCACATTTTTTACAGGTTACAAAGAATATTATCAATGCCAATATGCCAAATATCAAGTTTCATATTTTAAAGCCAGCAGTTTAAAAGGAAGGAGAAATCACTGAAGAAAAAAAAGAATTTGGAATAATTGAAGATACACAATATCGTCAATGAAATATATTTTCCCATAAACTGAAGAAAGAAGTTAGAATGTTTATAATAAAATACATCTTTATTTACATGTAGTAGTTTGGTCTATTAATTCTCAAAATTATAGTATAATACATCTTTATTAGCATCTTTATTATTTCTTAAAAATAGTTTATTATTTGGACTCCACGAAATCTCCCTATTATTAAAATGTATTCACTGGTGGTTCATAGTAATACTTTCCTACTTATTTGTTAGATTAATTGAAATGTCAAGGAATAGTCACAGTAACATTTTGTATGTAAAGGTCTATTTTCTTTTCAAAGAATTTCAGATTCAAAGCCTTTATAAGCCTGAAGATGTCTTATTAATCTCACCAGTAATTCTTTCATTTTATAAATCATGGTTACCATAAATGATATAACTTTCAAATGTATTTATAACAAATAACACTAGATATGCAAGTGCAATTTTTACCTGGACACATCCCACCCTCCCCTCGCCATGAAGGCTAATGCTACATAAGAACTCTCCTTCCAGAATGCAGCTTCCCTTCCAAGACCATAAAAACCATAAACAACTCATCTGCTAATCACATAGCCTGGGTTGAGTAACTCAGGCACAGAGCTCTCATTGCCCCTCCCCCAAATACAAAAACGTTCACTTTTAGTAAAAGTAAACTGATAACACTAGGAAGCTCGTGTTATTTCAAGATAAGAACCAACTGCATTAAAAGTAAAATACTTTAAGCTGACAGTTGACAAAACTACATGAATTTGCAAACTGCTCACAAATAAAAAGACATCAACATTTTATTAAAATTTTCCGTAGAAATTTTCAAGTGGCACTTTGCTCACAAGGAGACAAAGAAATTACAGACTTTTATAAGAACCAACAAGGTAGGCAGTGCAACATTAAGGTACGGAGAACAATGAGCCGGTGGCCCATCATATAATTTGCAGCTTCTTGAAGGTTGATTTAAAAGTTATGATACATTGTACATAATTATTTTCTGATCCTACAAAACTGAAGAATCCCCACTGCAATAAAAATTCACAGAGAATTCAGGACATATATGGCTCAATTGGTATAACCTGTTTTCATATATGACAGTATGAACTATGAAGTTTTTTAAAATCCAAAATTCATGTCAACAAGAGGGTCACCAGAAAAAAAAGAAAAAAGTTGGATCCATACTTTTCACTTTAAATAAAAATATACTCCAGATGGATGAATAATTTAATATAAGTACTAAGGATAAGAAAAACTTTAAAGTAATTTAGGTGTAGAAAAGGTGTGTTATACATAATTCAGAAAACAAAGCAAATAGATAATCTGACTGCAGAAAGCTAAATTCTGCAGAGCAAAAACTACTGCAAAGTTAAAAGCCAAACAACAAACTGAGAAAAATGATTTATAGTACATATATGGAAGGTTCATTTCCAGAAAATAAAAAGAACTAATAGAAATCAATCAGAAAAAGATCAACAATGCAGTAGAACAATGAGCAAAAGATATAAACACACAGTTTATAGACAAGAAAATACAACTGGCTTTAAAAATAAGTTCAGCCTAATCCTGTATGAAAGAAGTGAAATTTAAATGTATCAATTTGACAGAAATAAAGTTTGACAACTCTGTGCTGTTGTGATTACAGAAAAAGTTAAATCATATTATCATTGGTAAGAATGAAAATTGGTATGGAACCACAAAAGACAACGAATAGCCAAAGCAATCCTAAGAAAAAGAACAATGCCAGAGGTATCACACTCCCTGACATCAGCTTGTACTACAGAGCAACAATAATCAAAACAGTATGATATTGGCAGAAAAACAGACACACAGACCAATGGAATAGAATTGAAAACTCAGAAATAAACCCACATAAATATGGACAGATAATTTTTTACCAAGAAGACAAAAACATACAATGGAGAAAAGACAGCCTCTTCAATAAACGGTGCTGGGAGAATTAGAAAGCCACGTGTAAAAGAATGAAACTAGATTGCTATCTGTCACCATGTACCAAAATCAACTCAAAATGGATCAAAGGCCTAAACATAAGACCTGAAACAATAAACTGCATATCAGAAAACATAGGCACTAAACTTATGGACCTTGGGTTCAAAGAGCATTTTATGAATTTGACCTCAAAGGCAAGGGAAGTAAAAGCTAAAATAAATGAATGGGACTATTGCAAACTAAAAAGCTTCTGCACAGCAACAGAAACCATCGACAAAATAAAGATGCAACCAACTGAAAGGAAGAAGATTTTTGCAAACAATGCCTCTGATAAGGGGCGAATATCCAAAATATATAAAAAGACTCATACAACTCAACAACAAAAAAACAAATAATCCAATTAAAAAATGGGCAGAGGACCTGAACAGACATTTATCCAAAGAGGACATACTGACATATGAAAAAATGCTCAACATCCCTAATCATCAGAGAAATGCAAATCAAAACCACAATGAGATATCACCTCACACCGGTTAGAATGGCTGTCATCAACAAGACAAATAATACGTTTTCGAGAGGCTGTGGAGAAAAAGAAACCCTTATACACTGTTGGTGGGAATGCAGATTGGTGCAGCTGCTCTGGAAGGCAGTGTGGAGGTTCCTCAAAAAATTAAGAATAGAATTACCATGTGACCCAACAATCTGTCTCTTGGGTATCTAGTCAAAAAATCTGAAAACATTTATTCATAAAGATATATGTACTCCGATGTTCATTGCAGCTTTATTTATGGTGGCCAAGACATGGAAACAACCAAAGTGTCCTTCGATAGATGATTGGATAAAGAAGGTGTGGTACATATACACAATGGAATACTATTCTGCCATAAGAAAAGATGAAATAGTGCCTTTTGCAACAATATGGATGGATCTTGAGATTATAATGCTAAGCGAAACAAGTCAGACAGAAAAAGTAGAGAACCATATGATTTCATTGATATGTGGTATATAAAACTGAAAACAACAAAAGAACAACAAAAAAAACAAATGAAGAAACAAAACTCATAGACACAGACAATAGTTTAGTGGTTACCAGAGGATAAGGGGGAGGAAGGTAGTAGATGAGAGTAAAGGGGATCAAATATATGGTGATGGAAGGAGAACAGACTCTGGGTGGTGAACACACAATGTGATATATAGATGATGTATTACAGAGTTGTACACCTGAAATCTATGTAACTTTGCTAACAATTGTCACCCCAATAAATTTTAATTTAAAAAAAATAAATAAAAACAAAACAACACACACACACAAAGCAATGAAAATTGGTTCAGCTTCTAACAAGGGCAATTGGGCAATTTCTATCAACATTTAAAATACATTTATCCTTTGATCCAGTAATTCCACTTCTAGGAATTTATATAGTTATCTACCTGGTGCAAAATGTTGCATGTATACATTCATTCGTTGTAGCTCATTTTTAATAGCAAAAGGTTAGAAATAACCTAAGTTCTATCCAGTGTGTTGCTTTAAAAAAGTTTATTGCATCCACACAACAGAATACAATATGAAAAATGGTTAGATCTTCATGAAATATGGACAAATCTCAAAGATGCACTGTCAGAAGAAAAGCTGATACAAACTATGCAGTATGCTTCACTTTCTGTAACAATATGAGACAAAAAATCCATACATGTATAGATCTGGAAAGATACACTTGAAATCGCTTACCCTGGTTGCCTTTGGGAGGAAAAGCGGAGGGCTTTAAGACAGGGAAGGGAGGAAAACCTCTCCTTCTTTACACACTTTGAATTTGTAACATGTTAATGCATTATGAACTTAAAAAATAAATCAAATTTAAATTAAAAATAAAAAACAAGAACAAAATCCAAGTCAACCACCTGAAATATATATATATACACCTTGCATATAAACTAAATGTACACACTATACACATATACACACTACACACATGCACACCCAGGAAGACAAACGGCAGTGTGATTGTGAAGCACTTGTTTTGTCAAAGAATATGCACCTCTGGCTTTTAAATGGTGCTACTGGTTCCAAATCAAAATTCCTTAAAGGGAGATTTAATATTTAGAAATAAATTTGTTATTTGGAGTCAGGTCTGGTCAAGTTCAACAGTATGAACCAGTGATTGAATCCAATAATATTTCTGTTGGACACTGGTTTAACCCAAGTGATGAGATCTGCTTTTCTGTGTGGCTCATAGTATTTCTGAAGGCAATTACAGAAGAGGAGTTCCACAACATTCTCTGAAACAGCTGCTTCATTGGAATAAATAAATTACCTGTCAAATTTCTTTGAAGACTAACACTAATTTGGATGTGTTAGATCTCATTATTATGCAGTCACACCTGGAAGAATGCTTTAGTGAGCCTAGCTGTTACAGCGGAATAAAGAAATACCAATCATTGCATACAACATTATATATCAGAATGAAATGAGGAAATAAACCAGAAAATAGTACTATCCACTAATATCAGAATACTAAAAATCACAGTGAAATGACTAAACACAGAACGCTTGAAGGTAATCCTTTTAGAGAATCACCCTCACTAGTATTAACTTAAAAGACAAAAAACTATCAGAAAGAATAATGTGGAACTATTTATTAAATAGTTAAGAAAAAACGAATATGTTATCTGGAATATGTTTCAAAATAATAGTGAGGGAAAGATATAGACTAATAGAAATTGGTACTGAGTGTATATATTGAAGTGAATGGATGGGTACATCTGTCTACTTTTGTTTGTGCTTGAAATTTTCCATATAAACATCAGAAAAAAAATAGTTACGGCAATATATAGCTTTGGAAAATAACCGTATCTTAGGGCTACATGGATGCTGAGAATAAGCAGATTTTCCCCTCCAACAGTATAGTTTTTTTTTTTTTTAAAGATTTTTATTGGGGAATTGGGGGGATGGGAACAGTGCTGGGGAATTGGGGGAAGGGGAACAGACAAGTTGCTGTCGTTTTGTTCTTCAATCTAGTTGTGGAGGATGTTGCTTTACTGGCCCAAGTTGGCACCATCATTGCGCTTTTCTCTGGCGAGGCAGATCAGTCGCCGGCTTCTGGACGGCTGCTCACTGCGGCTGCTGGCCGCTCACGCTGGCTGCTGGCTACATACGGTAGCCCATGGCAACCCACTGCCACAGGGACTGCAGCCTACGCCGTCGCCGGCGACTCACGGCAGCCCAGCTCCAGGTTGAACTGTTGTTCAGCATCTTAGCTGTGGAGGGCAGTGTCACTGGCCCTCATATGTGGGATCCGAACCGGGGCCCTCTGGCATCCCAAGCGAGTTCTTAACCATCGCGCCACTCCGCCGGCCCAACAGTATAGATTTTTAATAGAAAGAATCAATCTGTAAGGTTTGCTGTGGTACTTTACAGTAAGAAGAACACCATACCAATTTTGGAGTAAGTGGCTACTGGCTGGAAAGTGATTTCATTTCTGTCAACTATTTATATTAATATATTTAAGTGAGTAGAGCTACAGCCATCATCCAATTATCTTTATTGTCAAGAGAATATGCTTGAAAGGGTTACTACATTACAGGTTTGCCTTCAAATTCAACTAAATGTAAAATAACCTACATACATTTAAGTGTTGTTATGTGCTTTTGTAAAATTTTATTGGGGAACAGTGTGTTTTTCCAGGACCCATCAGCTCCAAGTCAAGTAGTTGTTTCAATCTAGTTGTGGAGGGCGCAGCTCAGTGGCCCATGTAGGGATCGAACTGGCAACCTTGGTGTTTATGAGCACTTTGCTCTAACCAACTGAGCTAACCTGCTGCCCAGTTATATGTTTCTTTAATTTGACATTCACTGTGGTGAATACGGTTCAAGTGGGGCAGTAAACATAAACAGGACACAGGTTTTACATACGGACTTCAATGAACTTCACACTGCAAAGTGGAGCTGCTGACAGATAGGAATGAAAATTCAGATTTTGGATATACAGTCATCACACGCTCTAGTTTACCCCTGAAGACCAGCAGCGTGAAGATGTGGTTAGGCGCCTGGAGCACAGGATCCCACCGGGCTCACACTTGTGATATTGGTTTCACTGGCAACATGAAACCAATTGGATGAAATTGGGGAGATGCCAGCTTTATGAATATGCAAAGTTGTCCCCACTGCCGTGCTAACTTTTCTCATGTCAGTTAAATTTTACCTGTTCTTGTTTCCTTAACAAAACAAGAAAGAAACAAGGAAAAAATAAAATGACAAAGAGTAAAGATATCTTATGCTCTAAAAGCAGATATCCTCCAAAGTTCTTTAAAGTCTGTAGGATGTATAACCAGGCTGAGTGAGGTTTTAACTTTGGCTCCTACTGGTTGCGTACTTTGGGGCAAGTTACTTATTAGCTTCTTTGCCTAAATTTCACCAACTTTAAAATAATCACGTCAATCACAGCTCCTCAAATATGTATGAGGCTTCAGTGAGAGACACCAGAGCTAAGACTCTCTGTGTGCTTACTATGTTCAAACACTCTTCTGAGCCCTGTAAAAACAGACCTCACTTCATCTTCACAACCTCCCTATGAGGTCCACATTCTACCAGATGAGAAGAGACAGGTGGGGAGATTAGGCAGTTTGTTCAAGGGCACCAGAAGGATCAAGGATGTGAACTTGGATGGTCAGAATTCAAAGTCTGCTTCCTTGACCACTGCATAGGTCTCAGGACACAACAAAAGCTCAAAAAATATCTATTCTTTCATCTTTGCAGGTCCACAGGTAACTATTTGATAGACGGGGAATCCAAGCATATATTTAAAATAAAGCTCACTTTATTACAAAAGGGGCAAAAGCCTTCCCTAGTGTTTATTCTTAAAAATATCATTAATATCTAAGTTAATATGTAACTGCAAGTGGAACGGTACAATTTATGAAGATGCTGACATTTTTAAAATTGGAGTTAACTTGTTTAGAGTATCAAATATCAAATTTTTCAAAGGGTATTTTACAAAAGGAGCTTATTAAACTAGATAAAATAACATTCTCTTTACAACAATGATGAAAGTCATGAAACAAACGCCATTAAAAGTAGGATATTTTCAATGACCTGAGTAAACCAACAATTTTTGTGATTTCCATTCAATTGTAATAAAAATATGGTAAAGGCAATTCCCTTCTCTTAAGACTAAATGAATTTCCTTAGAAAAATGTATATTCTATATTAATGAACAGGGGTTAAAATTAGTAGAATTATCTTAATGCTATAGAAAAGTAACAAATAAAAAAGATATAGTTAAAATTTTAGCTGTATTCTCAAAGGATTAAGTAAAAGGGAATAGCTACACCATTAAATTTGAATTATCTACCAACAGTAAGATGCTTTGGCACATTTGAAAAAAAAATACTAAAAATTATTCAGTTGTGCATAGGTGTTGAAATGCATGACACTCGAAGCAATGAGCTTAAATGTGATGACCCATCAGTTATCACATGAACCAAACAGCTATTAATAGCTGCCTCTGTCATTAACCCTACGTACCATGAGGTTTACTGCAAGTTGTTATCAAATCTCCACTTTGTTGAAATAAAATCCAAATTGAAAAGTATTAAATGATGTTATTAGACTTCCATGCATATTGGAAATGTGGCTTAATCATTCAACACATATGTAACCCGAAAATAAACATGTCACCACTTATAAAGTCACAATGCCTTCTACAGTCACCAGTTTTAAAAGAACCTGTTTTCTGAAATTTCACGTGCCACCAAATCATGATGAATTATAAAAATATCGAAATAAACTTATACTATTCTAAAGGAAAATGTAAATCCATGGAGGGGGAATTTTACAATAAAAAAACCCAAAACTCCACAAAGTATTGAAATTAAACTTATAAAACTCCATCTTTAGTAATTCTAAAGTTAATTATACTCCAGTTAACTCTAGTGCTTCCAACATTTGTCTCAGACATTTCATTTTAAAAAATGTTTATAGCTACCAAACAGATTTAGTAAATTAATGAAAAGAAATGTAAAGGAAATTTCCGCTGCTTGGGTAAGTTTCAGTAGCATCTTTTTGTAGATCTGTAGAATACATACATAGTGGCAGAAGGTGGCGGTGCTGAGCTAAATAAACAACTTCTGGAGTTAGTAACGGATATCTTAGGTGTCCACAGCCCAGGGGCCGACCCCAGGTTGATCATTACAGCATTTATTATAGATACATAATGTAAAACTCCGAGAAGCCCAACCTTTAAACTTTACAAAATGGCTAAAGGTTATTCAATAGGAAATCAAGGATATTCAATGAATTTCAACAACTACAAACTTCACAGCATTGTTGCCCCACCTGATCAGTCATGCTTTTCTCAAAAGTAGTGAATGTGTCTAACAAAACAGCACAATGTAAACCTTCTAAAGACATCAAGGAGACAGAAAGGTCCATGCAGCTTACCATTCATCGGGAGAGCAGCCATAATCCTCGGGTTCAGGGACATGGCTTCAGAAAGCGAGAGGAGGGACAGAAAGAAAGGAAAAATCATCACAGAAAGGCTGGAAACAAAAGTGTGAATAAGGGAAGTACTAAAAGATGGACCGCTAAAGGTTAAGAAAATGAACTTTTAGTTGATTCTGAAAGAATGACAGTATAGTTAGTAGAATGATGAGTTATGGTAACTAAGCAGTTGCAAAGTTATTCTATAACTGGATAGCCAACTTGCCTCTTCACCATGAAATTTACTGAAATCATACATAGACTTCAGTAGGAAATAGTTGAACTTAGCAGTTTAAAAAAAAGCTAAAGCCAATGGAAAATCAATCACATATTGCATAATCAGAACAAAGTGTTTTAATGAAACAAACATGCTAACACCTAGGAACAAACTATCACACAGGTACAATTTGCCAAATACATTTTAGAAGTAAATTTGACTACCATGAGGTGATGGTTGTTTAAGCAGATATATTAAAGTTAATTACATTTCTATAATTAAATGGAAACACATTTTAAGATGAACTGAGATTCAAAAGTTTTCACTTAAATCATAATTTGGTTATTAAACCATTTGCCATTTCAAACAGAAAACCCATTCATCAATACCTTAATTTCATTCACTAGCTCATGTGAGCACTAAGGAAGTTTGATTTTAACAGTTTTAATTTTAACCAGCCAGTCATGTATTCATCAGAAGTGGCCCATAATATACGACACAGATTTTCTTTTATGTATGATGTATGTATTTATTACATTTCTTTTTTATATTGTTCATTTTCCCCCGGCTTTATTGAGATATAACTGACATATAACACTGTGTAAGTTTAAGGTGTACAATGTGTTGATTTGATACATGTATATATAGCAAAATGATTACCACCTTAATGTTAGCTAACACCTCCATCACACCACATAATTACCATTTCTTTTTTTGTGGTGAAAACATTTAAGATCTATTCTCTTAGCAACTAGAGCAGATTTTTCTTATCTCCCATTTCTTTCATTGTATATGTCTATTCAATATTTTTCCTTTTAATTAAATATATTAGATATAGGTAAATTTTTAAAAATGCAGCATTCAGTACAAATGTAAAATCATTGTTATTTTTTGACAGATGTACAATTACCTTCACTGGGATCCTTTCACTCCCTACATGACCACCTACTCTCTTTACCCTTCCACCAAACTGGCCATGATACGGGCCCCATCATTCCAAGGCACCTCTTCTAGCTCCAAAGCACTGGACTGCCTCGAGTGCAGTATCCACTGTCTTCACTCCAACCACCATGCAGGCAGTCCCTTTTACTCACTATTCTATCTCCTATCACAGGGGCTTCTGTAGATGCTTGAGAGGAAGGGCTAACCAAGCCCCTTGTGGGCTGGTCTCCAGGAAGGGCAATGGTGGGGCTTACAGCAATCAATTCTGATCAACATCAAGGGTTGGACTCAGTCCCCCAGACTCTACCGGGGTGGGGGGTGGGGACTGGTGCTGCCATGTTGCACTGGTGTTGTACAGCAGCCCCTGATCTCACACACCAGGAGAGGAAGCACTGTTTCTCAAGTTATGCAGCTTAAAAACCACAGAGCTCAAGGCTCAGGGTCGCTCGCTCACCCCAGTGTGGTCCAGCCCTGACATGCTGAGCGCTATTCAGCGCAGGCCACCCCCACACCTGCTACTGATCCTGTCTGTATGCGTTTCCCAGGGATTGCGCTGCTCCAGCAGCCCTGGTATGCATGTCCTCCCTGCCTGGCTGTCTGCCTTTGTGGGCATGTCAGTGCTGTGATATCTGCTTGGTCAGTTCCTCACTTAATCAAATGCATTCTTAGATCTCAGCTCCAGTATCACTTTCTCAGTTCCTGACCTCCCTAATTAGATCAACCCCCAATCACAGACTCACACAAACTATGTTAGGATTTTATCTTTGTCTGCATGATTACTTAATTAACATCCATTACCCCCCTATTAGGTTATAACTTGAGGGGGCGGGAACCATGATCATTCTGTTGCTCATTATAGCCCCATCATCTAACAAAGTACCACATCCATAGGAGATAAATATTTGCTGAAGTAAATGAACAATTATTGATGTTTATCCAGCTTTCACTACCAGTCATGGTGAGTAGTAAGATAAGTCTGTGGGTTATAATCTAGATTTAGGGCTAAGTATTATGTAACTATGAGGTTTCTCATGGTCAGTCTCTTCACAGTGTTGAAGAAGTAGCTGATCCTTTCAGCAAACATATTGCTAAAAAAAAATATTGTCAAGTAAAGGTATTTACCTACTGTATTCATATATAAAAATTTCTTTTAGGGACATTCATTTTTTCATTTAAAGGGAAAACATCTATGAAATGTTTTTAATATTGATTAAATTTTTGCCTACATGAAAAGCACTGTTTAGTTTACTTAAAATATATATATATATTTTTTTACTTTAGAGACTGTACCACGTTAAGCCTTGCCCGGCTCATCAGGTCATTCAAATAGTAAGGTTGAAATTATTGACAAAGATGGTACTCAGGATTGTGGCCTAGAATGCTCACTATATTGAGAATCTCAGCCACATAAAAGCCTCTTTACTATTCCTCCCATCCAAGTAACTACAATAAAACTGACTTATTCCCTATAGGAAACAATTTGCTAAAGTGATACTTTAAATGTGTAACAGTATATCTAGTTTGTAATAAGCTAAATTTACAAATGACATCACAATTCATTTACATTTAACTAAAAAATGATCTACTAAAACAATCTAATGAATTTAAGCATGGCGGCATCTCTGATACAAAGTTGATCTCTGCAAAGTAATCATTATCTGTAAGTGTGTGCAAATCTTTTTATTTCATTGCCCATCATGAATCTAATTTGGGGCAAATGTTATGTAAAATGAGAGAAAATTTAAAAAGACTAAACTTTGAAGCATTAAGTGTTAAATTAATGCTTACAAACCTGTGGAATACATAGAACCAGGCGAAGATTATAGGATCAAGACACTTTAAGTCTTGTCCTTCAAACTGATAAAAGCCAAGAGAACTTCACCTCTGACTCTACCTAGGGTAAAAGTAGGTTTGATCTTACTTCTTAAAAATTCTTAAAAAGCACCAGCTCTGAAATTATAGCCCCAAAGGCATTTGTTAGTATGTGAAAGTTTGTGTTATTCTCCTTTGTTTTGCCACTTCTGGGGGGGATAAATACCATGCTTTCTTCTGCTGGAGCTAGAAGTGCACCTATCTAATGGTTCCCCATATTAAACAAGTGTTAAAAACACTGCTGTGGGGCAAATGGAATAGTGAAAGCCTGTTATTTCCCTGTCTGGATTCCTATAACCCAAGAGTGCCCTGAGGAAATTCCCACAGAGAAGTGGCTTATGGTAAGTACTTTTTCCTGTGGAGTTGGGCAGAATTAAGTAATAGTGGTGCGCCTCCTACTGTAAACACCTGGGCAGTCTGAAGTCTCATGGTTTCTCCAAAGCCTTCGTTATGTTCACAACTCTCTACAATTCTGACATTCCAATTGTTCATCAGGATGTTTGGGGAGAGGATGTTGATTAAACACTCAATCAGGGTTAAGGATCCTGAAAGCACACATACAATGTACACATGATTATTGGAAGCAGTTTAACAACTAGCTTCACTCGACAAGGCTCCGGCAGTCTTAGAAACATGATACAGCATCCAAAGAAGAACCATATTTCCATTTATATAGTTAAAATTTGCAAACAAAGGAAGACCTGGGTTTTTTTTTGTGTGTTTTTTTTTTTAGTTTCTAAATATGTTAGAATTTTGTATCTAGGGGGAAAAAAAATCTTAAAGATCTGGTCCCACTATCCTCATTTTAAAGAATTTGTAATATTTGAAAGGGATTGTCTAGGGTGGCAGGCTGAATCAGTGCCGAAGTTACGACTAGAACACATGTCTTATGACTACACCTCAGTATTAACAGAGGTCATTTTCCCAAGAGGAAATCTGTTTCACTGGAAACTTAATCTAAATCGGAACAATTCTTAACTCCTAATACTACTTTGATATTTACCAGTCTCAAACCCACGCTATCATAATATAGTTGGGCCGGCCGAGTGGCTCAGCTGGTTAAGAGCTCGCTCAAGAGTGTGAGCTCTGAGCAACAGCGGTTTGAGTCCCGGCCTGAGCTGAGCAGCCGCTGAGCTGCCAACAGGTGGCAGGATGGCTCAGCTTAAAAAAAAAAATACAAAAACAAAAACTTCATGATATAGTTGTTAGTGACAATATCACCAATAGCTACAGGGAGAATACTGCTCTTTAAAACAACTGCCTGCAAGTATTTCAGGACTTACCCAAGAATAGGAAAAAAACCCTGATAAAATGCAGAAGAAAAGAGCACCTAGGTATCATTCCAGCTTTCTGCTCTGATAAATTCACAATCAGTAATCTTACTAATTTGAAACTTGTTTATTCAGTTGGAAATTAGACAAAATAAAAAAGGATGTCAATGATTAAAAGAGATCACTCTTAAAAATCACCTATATGAATGAATGCAGAATTTGTGTAAAAACAAACCTCACTATAAATCTGCCAGCAAGTAGAATGCAACAAACTCTAGAATCATAACAGGCCTTTCCTTCGCCCTTCTGGGATAATGTGGGCCGAATACACATGATGTCACAAAGTGTGTCTGTACCTCTCCTGCTCCGGCAGCTGACCAAACAGTGAGGTCTGTAGCAGTTTCGGGGTTGGAGCGAGGAGAGGCTCTTTTGTCTAAGAGAATTAGATCTTCAGACAAAGAGGAAAGCTGAACAATCACACTCTGCCCTGCAAATAGTAAGTATGCTTCTCAAATTAACAGCTGTCTTTACAATGTGAATAAGCCATTCAATCAAATGTCTTTTTAGCTTCTTTTACACACACAGTTTGAAGCCATTTTTAGTCACACTCTCTGCTAGCCCAAAGAACAAGCATATCTGCCTCCATCTATTTCTCTTTGTAGACAGTTGAGTGTAGGAGTAATCATATGCTTTTAGAATTTTCTACCAAGTGGTTACTTAAAATTTTAACTAAGGCATTCTCAAAATTCAATATATTATTTTTACACTAGCTTAGTGCCTGGAGACAGAGTGTGAGTGGGGAAGAGTGGATAAAGGCCAGAAAATCCAAAAGCAAGCATCCTTGTGTGTTTGGCTAAGGGGCAGATATTTACCAGTCTTACTTGCAGATAAAGATGGTTGGAAAATTTGGTAATAGACAACTGTTTTCAATCAGGAGTATGTTTCACCTTTTGATCTTGTCTTTTTAGGAAAGGTAGACATTAATTTTCTCACATTACCCTACAAAGTATCTTAAAAAAAAACAACAACAACAGTTCAGGCAGATATACCTGGATGTAAGATTAAAATAAGTGCTCAACAGCACATTCTATGGAACAGTAATAGCCTGATGAAATATTTTGATGATACTCATTACCCAGGGATTTAGGATTCATGTCTCTACTTCCTTCCTGTAATCAGATATTGAAACTGTTCTGTAACTGCAAAGACGAGAGATGATAAAAGACAAAAACAAATCAAAGGGACCATCAGAGACGGAACAATGTTTTAACTTGAAAAGTGTCCAAGGACAGTCTGCGTGTTCGTATCACAAGATCTACTCTAACTTAGAGGCAAGGTAAAGGGAAGTGTATCGGAACCTTATTACCAGAGCCAGACACAGACCTTTGACATTTCTATACACCGAAATATTACAGGGCAGAGCCCCACTTCACAGGTAATCCCAAATGAAAAACAATACTTAAATACAAAACACATATAAATATAAATATAAAATACAACAGATACATGTATGCTGAAATTAAAACAGCTGCTTTCTAGATTAAAAAAAATAATCTGTCCTAAATGAATTCTCAAAATGTACCAAACTGTTAGCACTAATTAAATGTGTATTTTACACTCTAATGAAAAGGGAAAGAAACTCACCCATAAGCAACTCCAGCTATGGTGCACTTCTTAAATTGCATTACATTGCATGTCAGAGTACCAGTTTTGTCAGAAAATATGTATTTTACCTAAAAAAAAAAGTTTGAAATGTCATTAAAATTTCAGAAGCAATTTTATGCCAGTCAGTCTCTTACAGAGGAGGGAAATCGTTATGCTTTTTATCAATTTTGTTACATTGTAGGGGCAGATGAATACTATTAATTGACTACTTTCTGCACATTAAGTATTATGTTCAACTATCTGTTTTAGTATTTCAGCAATGAATTGTTTCATACATGAACACTGAAGACTACCAAGATATTAGAAGAGCTACAGTCATGTGGCATCTGCCTCAATACGGTCTGAATTTCCACTAGAAAGAGCCATTACTGCTACCTAACATTTATGGAGCACTCAAACATCAACATTTCTCCACATAACAAACAATTCTAGAATTGGTAATAGCTTCTGCAAAAAACTTCACACAACATTTGAACTGGTAAGAAAAAGGATAATTCTGGCCCAAATGTTACTTGAAAAATAAGAGCAAATGGCAACGGTACACACACAAAAATCTCTTCTCAGTTAGTACGTATAATGCGATTACAAATATACACATATATGTGAATGTTGTATGAATTATAAATCTAAAATTCCTGTTTGACTACTATTATACTTCGACTCACAAAACTTCATTTATCAATTTAACATTTTTTCCTTTCTGGTCAAAACCTATGAACAATTTTAATACTGGGAGTTTATATACTGAAGGACATCCCCCAGTGTAGTAGCAAAATATGCTTTAAATAATGTTTTGAAAACTTCACTTACTAAAAATGAAACTGATAGGTATGTACTAACATGTATTTATGCTGATTATTCAAATAATGAAAAATTAGGAACTGTCCATTCATACGAAGTTGCCACATGAGGCAAAAATTACAACGAATTTGACTTCCACTTCAATACCTCAACAAGAAATTTCATTTACCTGGCCAAGTTCCTCATTCAGATTAGATGTTCGAGCCATAGCAGCAGTGTCTGTGGGTTCATAGTGCATGTCAAGATCCTTTTTAAAAAAATATAAAATAAATCATTGAATACAACGGGTAATAAGAGATTGAGTGAAATTTTATTTTAACTGGTGAGTTATGTATGCAACCACTCTCATCTCTTGCCATCCCTATACCATTTCGGTTGATTTCCCTGAAAAGTACTCAACACAGGCTATTATATTTCACAGTAAGAACAGAACAGGATGGTGGTTAGAGCATGTCTTTGGAATCAGGTGATTCTAGTTTACTATCTTTCCACCATTTCCCATATATGGGCCCTACTGGAAGGATTAAGATTATGTATATAAAGTGCTTCCTACAGTGTCTGACACAATCTAAGTGCTTAATGTGAGTTAAAATAACAGCAACTAAATATTGCTCAAATAACTAAAACTTCAAACCCCTGGAAAAATTATCTAAGGGATCCTCCCTGGTTGTACTTTCTTGGTCGTTTCTTACACTGTATATACTTGAAAGCAAAATGAGCGCCTTCTCAAAACCCAAACAAAAATGTACAGTTTTTGTACCAATGTGTGCTTGCTTTGCGTCCAGAATTATGAAGTTTGACTATGAATACTTTAAAAATTAATATTTTCTATAGTAGCACATTTTATTGACAAGTCAGGGTTTATTGGTTTTCACGTCAAATGAAAAAGCCAAAGCTGATCTCTTCCATGTCTGTATTTCAGACTGATCAATAGCAATACCCATTTTGGAACAGGCTCTTGAGTTGTAGGTGCCATGTTTTAAGAGGGATAGTAAACAAGCGGGTGAGGTTCAGGGAGGAGTGACTGGAATGGGGATTAAGTTGGAAATCATGTCAAATGAAGACCAGAAGGAGACAGAAGATGCTTTGTTGGGAGGAAAGGATATGATAGAAGAATAGGCATGATGGTCGAGTTCAAATATTTCACAAGGATATCATTCGGAAACAAGAGTAGACACTTCCACGAAAGATCTACTGGGCAGAACCAGAACCAAGAGGAGGCAGCTATTAATTTCATTTCTATATAAGGAAGGAGCTCCCTAGTAAGGGAAGATCTCTTCTGTCAGGAATGTTATAAAATATCTGTATATTACAAAGGTGGTTGAAAAGTATAAGCCTGCTGGGTTCATCCAACACTAAAATTATATAATTATTTAAAGCAAATATTATTTTGAAAATCCAAATATAAAATAGTACAGCGGTGGACTAGTTATTGGATTTTCACAATGAGTTACCATATTATTTCTTATTATTATAAGTGGGAAATGTTCAATATATTTTAATTATATTTATACAAATTTTATTACACAATTTTTCAGTAACATCTCCTGCATGAAATGAGCTATACTTGCAGCTTATTTTAGATTTCTAAATTATAACGATCTTTTACCAATGATTTAAGAGATTGACAGTTGAAGTGGATCATTTACCATGGGAAGATAATGAGCAGTTACATAAGTATCATCAGTTATATTTTTAAAAATCCTAACACTGTTCTTATTGAAAAACTTTTTTAAGTGATTTAAAAAGAAACATCAAGGGATCACTGCATAAATTATATAACAGTCTAACCATTATGCTGTATACCTGAAACTAATATAAAGTAATACTGAATGTCAACTGTAACTGATAAAAAATAAAAAATAAAGAAAAGAAACATCAAAATACCAAAATTCCTCAAAATAAAAGAAAACTTAAACTCAGGCAGATTAGGCCTAAAGATTTATTTAATTTACATAAATTCATTAATTTTAACTTTGGTAAAAATAAAACTGAGGATAAGCAACATATTTTATCAACAAAACATTTAAGAAACACATTTTTTCCAGCACATTTTCCCAAAATTAAAAAAACATTTTTAAAAATTAAGAAGAAAAATTCAAACACAGATGAAATTGTTTACAGTGTGGTAAAATAAACTACATAGATGTAGAAAACATAATAGACAGTCTAATTGTTACAAGTAGTGAATACACTATAATTTTTATAGTGTTCAATTGTTTATAAAGCTGTCTGCTATGTCGTGAAAGTCCTTTGGTCTATATAACCACGTTGAGATGCAGGTAAAACGTGTTTTGTCATTTCTATGTGAGTGTCCAAAAAATTAAGTCTCAAAGAAGTCAAGTGGCTTGGCAAAATTCACACAGCTAGTAAATTATAGAACTAGAACTACAGTTCAGATATTTTAACTCCAAACCCCATGGTTCTCCTTTTCCCCAAGACCACAAAAAAACCCAAAATAGGTTTCCTGAACTACAGACCTATTTTCCCCAGAGTTGCCTGGTCTATAAACTTGTGTTTTATCATTTCTATGTAAGATGCTGAGATGAGATGTTGTTACTGATTTTCCATGTAAAATGAATTTGTTAAAATTATATTAGGTTCTAAAATATTTTGAAATGTCATCTTATAGTCAATAAAAGGTAAGGTATAATTAAGGTTTAATTTTGTTTTCAAGAGAACAAAAAATTGTATCAGAAAAAAAAAGACAAATGTATGTTTCAAGAGATAAAAAATAATAATTCATATTTACCCAATTTATGAAGTATGCCTGGGTAAATTTCACCACTTCTAATGTAACCAACAAGCTGATAGGAATGAGATTGTTGAAAAGGATGATGAAGGTCAAGAAATTCAGGCCAAAATTATTAGCACCACCATCTGTAGGGGGAGGTGGGAGGAAAGTCATTTAGAGTTTTACATATTTTACTTTGTATGAACCAGAACTTTAAGCATAATAAAAATTTTCCATATTATACAGCATCTCTACATAGTTTGGGAGGAACGTGGTGTTGATAACATATCCTTATTCTCAAATACATTCTTCATGATGGAATAACATTATTTGTGTGCAATATGATGTTAATCCTAATAAGAACTACATAATGGTACTAAAAGTGAAAGTGCTGCCAATATTACTAATTCTGTTCCAAACACAAGGTTTAGAGATATCAGGGACAGGACCGAGGGTTTATAAATGTAAAATCTTAATTGGGCGGAATCACTTTTATATAAATACTTGAAAAGCATTTCCAATTTAAAGTATGCCTTAAAAGCAAACAAAACGACAGAAGCAAAACTAACCCAAGTAGCAAAAACAACATAGGGCAGGACCCTAGGTAAATTCAGCCCTAGGTAAAATATACTCTTCCTTTTCAATAATGAAAATAACATAGCTATCCCAGATACACTCACTGTAAAGTATATGAACAAACAAACTGATGGCAGTCGTAATAGTTCTAATGTTGAAATAGTAAATCAATGACTGTAAAAAATACCTTGGAGTAGCTGCAAAGTAAATCTCTCTCTCTCTCTCTCTCTCTCTCTCTCTCTCTCTCTCTCTCTCTCTATATATATATATATATATATATATATATATATATA